TACAGTTGTAGCCACAGCTGCCCTGGGGCAGACTGACAGAAGCGAGGCTGCCATATCGCGCCATCGGCCCCTCTGGCCAACACCAGTAGGCGGTAGGGTAAAGTGTCTTGCCCAAGGACACAACGACCAGGACAGACAGAGCTTGGGGATTGACCCGGTGACCGTGGCAGTAGCTGCCTCCGGAGTCCCACAGGCTAACCAAGCCCAGTAGGACTCCTTCTTCAGCTTGGTGGCTCCCCTCACCTCTGGTGTCCACCATTTGGTTCGGGGATTACCACCACAACAGGCACCTACTACTACTCAATGTCCCCAGTCTCCCTCGGAATGCTGTTGAAGCTCTGTTGGAGGTGTGAGTTGAAGATCTCGAGGTCCGAGGCCTCTGCTAGACGTTCCCAGCACACCCTCACTGTACCTTTAGGCGTGCCAGGTCTGTCCAACGTCCTCCCTTACCACCTGATTCAACTCACCACCAGGTGGTGATCAGTTGACAGCTCAGCCCCTCTCTTTACCCGAGTGTCCAAAACATATGGCCTCAGGTCTGGTGATACGATTACAAAATCGATCATCGACCTGTGACCTCGAGTGTCCTGGTGCCACGTGCACTTATGGATACTCTTATGTTCGAACATGATGTTCGTTATGGCCAAACTGTGGTTTGCACAGAAGTCCAATAGCAAAACACCGCCCGGGTTCAGATTCGGGATTGGGATTCTCCCAATCACGCCCTTCCAGGTCTCACTGTTGTTGCCCACATGAGCATTGAAGTCCCCCAGTAGGACAACAGAGTCCCCAGGAGGACCACCCTCCAGTGCCCCACCCAGCGACTCCAAGAAGGCTGGGTACTCTGAACTGCAGCTCGGTGCATAAGCACAGATGACGGTCAGGACCCGTTCCCTGACCTGAAGGTGAAGGGAACAAACCCTCTCATCCACTGGGAGAAACCCCAACATACCAGCAGCAAGCCGAGGGGATACCCAGATACCCACCCCAGCCCAACGCCTCTCACCAGGTGCAACTCCGGACTGAGACAGAGTCCAGCCCCTCTCCAGGAGACTGCTTCCAGAGCCCAGGCCATGCTTTGAGGTGAGCCCGACTATAACTAGCCGGTACCTCACAACCTCACGCACTAGCTCAGGCTCCTTCTCCACCAGAGAGGTGACATTCCATGTCCCAGTTGCCAGTCTTGGTAGCCTGGGATCGGTCCGCCAGGACCTCCGCTCCTGGCCGCCGCCCGGCTCACGTTGCACCCGACCCCTACGGTGCCTCCTGCGGGTGGTGGGCCTGCAGGAAGATGGGCCCATGTCCCTTTTTTGGGCTGTGCCTGGCCAGGCCCCATGGACTAAGTCCCGGCCACCAGACGCTCGCCCTCGGGAACCCTCCCCGGCCTGGTTCCAGGGCAGAGCCCTGGTAACCCTATCCCGGGCAGGGTGAACTGTTCCCTCAATGGTCTTTTCATAGGGGTCGATCCTCTTATGCTGTGGTTTAAAACCAGGCTATGAGTTTCACTTATCTGACATTCTAATGTAGTGCAGTGGTACTGCTGGCCCCTTTACTTGCAGTTGCTTTTATTCTGGTGTATTCACAGTCCCTTAACCCATGTGCTCTTGGAGTGCCTTATTACCATTTCTTGTCCAGGTCAGCCCGTGTCTTTATAGGACTAGTGGGTTAGAGGACTAGACTCACACATCCAGTCTTTCCTGGCTATCCTCCAGTCTTGCCCCTTTCACAGTGGTCACTAGGAAAATACCTGGGACTTTCGGCTAGGCATTACTGCCTGACGTATCATTAGTTTAGGTGTGATCCATCTATATTTAGAACACACCCTCCAGTCTGTCTTCTTAAAGATCAAAATCAGAGCTCCAATCTGCCAATCCAGAAGCACTACCCCAGATCTACATGGAATGCAGCAGAGGCGTGTCAACCAAGAAAGCCCAACAACATCCAGGACCTTAAGGAACTCAGGGGGGAATCTCATCAGGGGACTATACCAGATATTAATTAACTACCTCAGTGACCTAACCACTAGTGATAGGTGAGCTGCCACCCTCATCTTCAGACTCAGGTTCCGCAATGGAAGGTGTGGTAGTGGAATTATAGAGATCCTTGAAGTATTTCATCCAGCGCCTTGCGATATCCTCAACTAATGTCAACAGCACCTCAACTGCGAACTTCGTTATGGAAAAGTTGTGATTTGCAAAGAAGTCCAACAATAGGACACCACTAAAGTTTGGGTCAGGCAGGCCATTCCTCCTAATCACACCTCTCCAGTTTTACCTGTTGTTGCCAATGAGAGCTCTGAAGTCTCCAAGTAGGACAATTCATAATTCTCATGTGATATCAGAGCTACAGGGAATTGCTCACCAGGAGGGCAAAACAATACTCTCCCCTGCTGCCCTACAGCCATGCCTTGAAAATCTTTGAGTTTAATTTAGTCAAAATGCTAGACAATTACTGGACTATCAGATATAATAATCAGTGCAAAACCAAGGAACGGCAAAGAATGGCAGTCACTCATGTTTACAGTAAATATTTTATCAGAGGTAAGATTCTGTTTAGTTCACCGAGTTATGATAAGTGTTGCAATTCTGATGATGCTAAAGCTAGCCTAAATGTTGTCAACGTATATTTAGAATCAGAATCAGAATACTTTATTAATCCCTAAGGAAATTATGTAAGAAAGCTATTTAAGCGACAGTAACAGTAGCTCTAGGAAGACAGCAGAGCTCAAACAGCCATGTAGCTATGTTCAGGCATCACCGGCAATCAGACAGAAAATGACTCAAGTAAATGCCTCAGCCAATAACATTTGAATTCAGCACTAGTCAAATCAAATATAAAAGACTTCTTATTTACTATGTGGTAAGGGAGATTAATTACTTTCTTCCCGATTGAACCTGAACCTTTTCTCTGGTTACATTTCTGTCATTTAACTTTGAAGTATTGTTGCATCCTGGTGCCTTACATCTCTCTTCATTAAGTCTTCTCCCAGCTCCCGACACACACAGACCTGCACATGTGTATGGATCATCATTTTTATCCACACACTATTGCTTACCCAATTGTGTCAAATATGTAAGACCTTGAACTGACTCCTGATCCCTAACTGTTCTTCAAACCTGTTTGAGGGATCTAATCTTACTCACTTTCTCTCTCATTACATTCATTCGTCTTATTGAGGAGAAGACTCAAACTGTACAATGACACTCTTTAATAAAAGCTCACGATTATCTCATGTAAATTGGTATAAATGTATGTTAGGTGATATGAATGCTGATATATGCCACTATTCAGTGCTCCTAAAATGAATGGAGTTTCTCTTATGAACTCTAAACCTTGTTCTAATATGCCTTATTTAAATGATCTAGCCACCTTGATCATCACCTTTCACCTGCCTAATAACTTGATGATCACTAATCAAGTTTGTTGTAGCAGAGAAACACTTGGGAGAGAAACACAAATCCTTTTGATGACAGTGTAATGAACAAAAATCTGTTTTAGTGCCTGAGGGAAACGTCATGCTTTTGAGGGTTAGGTTGTTGAATGAGCCTGATGGTTTATTCTAAACTACTAAACTTATAACTTTTAACTAAATTATTGAAAAAAACCAACCATTTTATTCATACCAGTGTGTTTAATACATTGATTTGTGTGTCAGAATAATAACATTAGCCTTTCACTGAAAGCTGATTATCTCAGGAGAAAAGAGGAAATTACATGTTATAGGGTTACTTTAAAAAAAAAAAATACAAAATTCAATGACATCAGCATTTTAGAAATTAAAATATATGACTTACCAGATTTTATTTTCTTCATGTCTACAAACCATACGCCCGTTGCCTAATGTTTCTTCACCAGACAGCAGAGAGGCTTCAAGACTGTCTTTTGCTGAACAAAGACATTTACTTTCTCTTAAACAGAAACCTTTTACACGATTGCCTTATCTTTGGCAAATTAAATCCATACATAAAAGGGGTGAGCATTGGTTGACAAATGAGCATATACATAGGTAAAATGATATTGACTTCATCTGGTACCTGACTTATTAAAAGCCTGAAGTTAATAGAGTGAAAAATACAGCCAACAAACAGGTTGGACACAGAGACGATCTGAGGGGTGCATGTCGTCATGGCTTTCTGCTTGTTTTCTGTGGATGTTTTTCGACAGACTGTCAAAATTTTCACATAAGAGACTGAAATTAGACTGAATGGTATGAAAATACTCATTATGACAAAGAATATGATAGATATAGAGCTTTGGACTGAAACTGAGCATGAAAGTCTAATTATTAATTGGTGCTCACAATACACATTGTCAACAATATTTCCACAAAACTGCAAACTGAAGATGAAAGAAAATGAGAGTATAAAAATAAGAAATGAAAAAACCCACACAAGCAGAATGATCTTAAGCACTCTCTCTGTGTTCATAATGACATTATAACGTAATGGATGACAGATTGAAATATATCTGTCATAGGCCATGGCTGCTAAACTCCAAAACTCAGCAGGTGCACTTGTGTACAAACAACACATCTGCAGATAACACCACGGCAGGGTCACTTCATGACTGTCTGAATACATCTGTGAGAGCAAAAGAGGATACAGTGATGTGCTGGCATTTATTTCATTCACACATAAATTGCTGAGCAGTATATACATTGGCTCATGCAGCCTTCTGTCCACATGTATGACCACAATAAGAACTATGTTGGCCACACATATAGAGACATACCAAAACAATATTATGGTTAAATACAGGTATTTTAAATCCCCAACATTTCCATAAGCAGACAGCACAAATGACACAATCTCACTGGAGTTTTCCATTTTCTGCTTAATATGAGACAGTGAACAAAATCAATAATAATGTTATCAGTGGTTCTTTAAGATATAGATATGGGTATCAGATGCCCAAGAGAAGTCTATTATATTGTTTAAATGCTATTTTACAAATAATTGTTATGCCATTATGACACATTCATTCTCAACAGGTGTGACACCCGTGACAAAATGTTTACATAAGCAGTGAAATAATAAACAATAAACTGTTTTATATAAGGTTCAAGATTTGAGCTGAGAAATTAATTTGAACTGAAGAACAAATGACATTATAACACAACATTATAGTCATTACTCTCCCTCCCAGCTCAAAGAGACAAAAGCCTAACATTTATAGCAACGGCAAAGAGGAGAAGAAATGAAGTGGGTGGGTCAAGGTTGGAGGCAATGGCATACATTCCTTTGTTTTGTCTTTGTCTGTTTCTGACATTTGTTTTAAGTAAGCTGCTTTATAAAAATATAATATCAAAGCTTTTCAGAACTGTAGAGGAAGATAACTTTTGTGTTGTTTTTAAGGGAAAGTCTAATGTCCCTACATGTTTCTCTAAATGTTTGTTATGTGTTTCAAAATGGAATTTGAATCTACAGACATTTAGGTCTGGAGTAGTGAAATATCATACATAAATGAATTTCATGTTCATAGAAAAAATTAAAAGCAACATTTCTGAAGTTCGAACACAGTGCAAAATCTAAATAAAAAGAGAATACAATCATTTGCAAATCTCACAAACCCATATTTTACTCACAACATAGCCTTTTAGGAAAAACAATCATTTTTAATGTGATGGCCGCTATAAGTTGGGACAAGTCCATTTTTACCATCGTGTAGCATCCCTTTTTCTTTTAACAACAGTCTGTAAACATCTGGGCTGATGAGACTAACTGCTGGATTTTTGGGAGAGGAATGTTGTCCAATCCTTGTCTGATTTAAGATTGAAGCTGCTATACATCCCTGATCTTCCCCGATGATATGATGAAATGACATTTTTATTTTTCGGTTGCAGTTGCCCACAACCGAGATGACAGACCTTGCCGACCGTACATACAATACACAAACTTCACATTGGGGAGACAGGTCAGGCTAGGTAAGCTAGGGAAAAAAAATATTGAAATGTGTAACACAAAAGGATAATCCAGAAATGCAAAGATATCACCACACCATAACACAATAAAACACAGACAAGCAACATGCAAGAATATTCTAGTGTGTACAGCTGGATCTGGGATCGCTGCAAACTTCGATTGCACCTCCAGCTGATCCGCTGTCCACATCGGATGGGAAGTAAGCACGGGAGGAGGCGTTGGATTGGAGGGAGGGTGGGTTATAGTCAGAGCTGGACTGGGACAAAAAATCGGCCCGGGCATTTTGACTAGAGACCGGCGCACCAGGTATTATAGGAAAAACCATGAAGCCTTTGAATGAAAACAAAAACTGTTGTTACAGTGATGTACACTGTCTTGTTGGTATATATGTATCAATCTAATAAACTTAAACCTACACCATCCTCCCTGTTCTGGTATTCTAAACAGTATTTAGCCAAAACCCAAAGACTGCTTGGTCGAGTTAACCTCCTGAACTATCTACAACACATGGTGGAAACCTGAAATTAAGACAGAGAAGCCTATTCTCTGCACAGGTAAGAAAGAATAAAACTTAATTGACTTTTTGATGGCATTTTACACACAGTACTGGTACAGAATCTAGAAAATGTGGGTAAATACTGGCATCATATACTTAGCTACTTCTGAAGAAATTATGATAGGACCCTGAAAAAAATTACTATGTACAATAATGGATTTCTATACATTTTACATCAGATGAAAATGTTTGTTGTAAGAATCAGATAATTATTTATTAAAAGCGAGACATTTTAAATGAGAATAAGAAAGTATTTCTTTGTGCCCCCCTTTCCCTGGCCCCTGGCAAAACTTTGCTACAACCGCCCCTGCACTGTTACCAGCTGTCAGCTCGTAAAAAAAGGATCCTGGTGTTATTTGTCTCTCAGAAACAGTTCATATCTCCCCTTCAACTCATTCATGTCACCTAAAAGGTAAACCTGTTTGTCCATCACCTGTTCAGCTCTGATAATTCAGTAAGGACATCTCCTGGTTTCCTCTTCATGTTTCCCTCTCACCACATATCCAAACCGATATCATGACCAGCAGCTTTTACAGCTGTGGCTCCAGCAAACATGAGCTGATACTAGAAATTTATATAAAATAAATTTTAACAACAGCTGATCAAGCTTAAACGTGCTGCTGTTGTTAACGCGACATCCGCTGGTTTCTTCTTTCTGGCACAAAGTGGGCAATAAACAAACAAGAGAGAAAAGCCGATCAGCTGATCATTAATCAGTTTCATGATTGAAATAACAACAGAGGAGAGAGGGGGAGAGAATGAGAGAAGAAGAAACAGCTGTGCAGCATAAAGACACAGAATAAGTCCAGCTTTGTGTCTTTTTCATTGTAGCTGAAGTACGGGACAAACTGTGTTCCTTTTCAGCTCAACATGAAACACGTAATATTTTCTCTGGATACGAGACGATTTTTTACAGGAAGGTTGGCAACTCCAATAACTAACCTTATAGATAAAATAAAGTTCACTATCAGTAACATCATAGCACCCACTCAGCTGTATAGCAACTCCGTCGTGCTAGCTAGTACTCGGTACGAGTTATTGTAACTGACTGTAAAAAGTCAGCATAACAAAAATAAACTCCACCTAAACTTGGTTTATATCTGACCCAGATAGACTGCAGGTCATAAGTTCTCACCTGAAGTTCAGTTCCCCTGATACTCAGACCGGCGGCCACCTCGGGTCTCTCCTCCTTCTGCCTCACCTTTCCGTCATCTCGCCTCCAACACTTGCTAATGTTACTGAATCTGTGGAAGCTCCGCAATAGCCACCACCAAACAATTAAGTTATTTTTACACATCTCCCAGCTTCTGGCCAATCCACCACCTTTCAGTGTTTATACAGTTACGAAAAAAAGGAAAAAAAAAACATCGGCCCATAAAAACGAAAAATCACCATTGGCCCACTGGTCAAATGCCTGGTATGCCCAATGGCCAGTCCAGCTATGGTTATAGTGAGGGCGTATCACTATCAGTGTACATGTTTCTTGCGTGTGTGTGTGTGTGTGTGTATCCTGTGTTCAGCTGAGAGAAAGTGTCACCAGGCCCGGTTAAGCGAAGGTAAACAGTCTCCAGTGGACCCAGGCGGCCTTGAAGGAGGGACAAAGAGTTCTGACAGCAATCCTGTTATCATGGAAAAGTTTGTTGGTCCAGTCAGCTTCAACCTTGGCAGCTTGCGCCAGTGGGATAGCCACATGAGCGAAGATGGTGAATGTTTGTGTTTAGTGCGAACAACTGCATCCAATTTTTACAGTTGGCCTAATGTCCATCACTGGTGACCAATTCTCTCAATTCCCGTTGTTCTTTTCCAAGATGTTATCCATATTGCAGAGCCATGAGCTTCTCCAAGATCTTATCCATATTGCATTCAAAACACAGTCTGAGAACTCACAGCCCTGCCAATCGTCTATCATGTCGGCCATCCTTATGGGATTTTGAACAGCTGTAACCGCTACTTGTTCTTCGATAAGCCAGGTCCGAACCAGCTCCAATCAGCCAGAACTCTGTTACCGTGGTTCAGAATTGGTAGATATTATTCAATGTCTTCCATTGAAAGTGTTGCCAGATGCACGACACAACCGACCATTGAGTAGTCAGTAGACAGTCGGGCTCTCCCAAGCCCAGGAAGGTGTCAATTCTGTTACGGGACCAGTTGATCAAATCCATAATTCTTTAGGTTTTAGAGAACAAGACTGAGAAACTCTTTGAGGAGTTAGAGTTAGAGTTAGACGAGACTAGACAAAGACATTGAAGCAGAAGCAGGGAAGAGAAGGCAGGCAGAGGGTGAAAGATGCATCCGCCTGATAGCACTGCATGTTATCATGTTGTCACAATCTGCCATGGAAAAATCGTGAGGAGAGAAGAGGAGGACCCAAATTCAGATGACCTGACAAAGAATGAATGACAAAAGACCACATAAATACACACAAGGGTGAAAAGGGAAGTGGAAATACACACGGAACACAGCTAATACAAATGAACATGACACCGCAGGACTCACGGGCAAGACACAGGAGCAGGGATAAACAGGGAGACAAAAGGGGAGATGAGATGAAACACAAGAAGAACAACATGGAAACACAAAAGGGAGACTGAGCACAGAAACACTATGCCAGCAACTTGGTCTGTGACCCCACATTTTGAGTTTATTGTTATATTTGTGATTTCTTAGGTATATTGAAAGGATTTTAAGTTCTTGTAGTATTATCAGGTTGCCTTGAGTTTAGTTTAGGTTATTCTATGTCAGTGGTTAAACTTTTTTTTGCAAGGCCCCCCTTTGTTTTCTTTACACCTCAATCATTTAGTAAACAATTAAACAAATAAAAGTAAAATTCCTCGTCAAGTCGTCTTTCGGTTCAGGGCATGTTCATGTTTCTGGTTCATGTTTATACTTCATAGCTTCACTCATGTTCCTGCTCCACATCATCTTCATAGTTGTCATAGTCAATTGTAGTTTTCTCCAGTTTAGGTCTTAGTTTAGTTTTGCCCTTGTTACTTCTTGTCTTTATTTTGTTTCGTGTGTAACAAAAGGCCGAGCACCCTGACACCTGTAAGATAGAGGGGCTAAGCTAAGACAGTTTTAACCGAGAAAATGCTTGTTTTACTCCCTTCATGCAGCTCAAAGTTACTTGCTGTTCTGTACTCTAGGATGAAGAGAGGACCTGAACTGTCAGCTGATCACCACCTGGTAGTGATTAGGATAAAGTGACAGAGAGGATGCTGGAAAGACCTGGTGGACCTAAACATAGTGAGGTTGCGCTGGGAACACCTGGCAGAAGCACCAGCCTGTGACATCTTTGACTCCCACCTGCAGCAGAACTTCAACAGTTTTCCAAGGAAAGCTGAGGAAATTG